AATAAGTAACGCTTTTCGGGGGAAGAAGGGAAATAGTGCGTTACTTAAAACTGGATCCAGCTGGAAAATTCTTTACAGGATATAGGATGCAGGAATATTAACTATCAATGTATATCGTGTAAAAGTTCCTACACTTGCATGATCCTGCACAAAAACTTTTAATTTTTCAGTTGCTAAGGAACATTTGACATACATTAGTTCATATTTTGATATGTAAGGTTCCTATAACCTTGTTGGATAAAAAAAGGTACTGGGCTTTCGAAAAACTCATAGAAAACTACTGTGCAGGATGTTAAAAAAGTAAATAAATTAATTGAGGAAAGCATGCAAGATCATTTACGGATTCCTTACAGGATTCTTTACAAACAAGTTCCTACAATTAACAAGGGTGCAAGTGTTCCTGTGCAGGAATATTTTCATGAAACATTGCTAACTAATGTGCTTGCACTGGAACCTGTATCTGCATAGGATCCTTGATCCAATATCCTGCAGGAGATTCAGGATTCTGGCAGAGAGTGATTCCACTAAAAATCTACAAAGTTTTCTGTTTAGATGCAGCAGTAATCTTCTGCATGGGATCTCCCCAGGGAATCTTTCCAAGTGAGAAATCAAAAGTGAACTAGGGGAAAGAGAAATGGAAGTTGGAATTCGGGAAATTAGGATTTAAAATTGAGAATTTAGAAGTACATGTTGATTCATGTGGAATACTTGTATAGAGCGAACAAAAGAACATTAAAAGCGCCGACAATCAGTAGAAGTAATCTGCTTCTAAAATAAGGCAGTCAGACTTAAGTCTGTCTTAAAAATATTCCAACTTAAAATAAAACTCATTAATTCCTTCGGAATAAGATTATCTTTGTCATTATTTTATGTTCCACCATTAATATCTTCTAAAAAGAAACACCACTTCCACAAGTTCGTGGTAGTTTTTCATGTTTCTTACTTCTTTTGCTTCTCGACATGTGCAACTGAACTTTAAGCAAACTATACATAATAATGAAGCTTATTTGCAAGGATGAAACTATTGTCGTAAACAAACAAATAAATGTCTATCATAACCAATATACAAATATTTATAATCCATTTGCGAAATGTACTCGACTACCTGAAATAGTAAACGTGTAGTAATTGCTTTTACATTACATGGTGAAGAGCTTGTAACTAGTGCGGTTTAAAAGAGAAGTTATAGAGTAGCTGTTTGAAGTTGTTGAGTGCACTCGGAGCGGGGTAGTAAATCTTGATTAAATTGCTGTACGCATTTAATTCCATCGAAAATCTGAGAATTAAAATTGCAAATCTCACGTGTCATGTCGCTTACACAAAGTAAATATACATGCATGCGTCAACCGTGTGGATGTTGAGATGGGTTCAACGCTTACAAGTTCGTGACATCAATTGACACGCCGTGTAAACATATACGCAAGGATACGCTTGATGAGATAATCGTGATTCGTTAAGCGATAAGTGAAGATCGATTAAAGCTAGTTCAACTCGGCAGCTTACATTTTTATTGATGCCGGCTTAAGATATTAAACTGGAAAATGTTTCTCAAAATCGTGTGAATAGCAATAATTTCATTTCCGATTGTGATTGTAATCTGACTTCTATTTTTACTCTCATATTCTTTGTACTATGACTCAATTTTTTCATCAGATAGAAAGATTAACGGGAGAAGAATAAATATCACTTCTTCGTCTTCATTGTACAAAAGAAATTCCTTTCTTCATTCTCGTTGTAAAATTAACTTCTCTTACATTCAAAATAAAGTTCATCAACTTTTGCTAATTCCACTGTAGTGGAAGAATTATAATTTTTACTTGTAAATCAACATTTTTGGAAATAACTTTCAGCACGATTTTTATATTATACGTACAAATGCCTTGCAAACAAACTGACAATTATATTCTGACTTGTAGCTTTTTCATGTTAATGTCAGATCAAATTAATCTTCGACAGTGAGTCGGACTTTTGTGTTGCACAACAAAGTTGCTTGCACCAGAAAGAAAGGATTACTATATGCTCCTTAGAGATCATGCCATTTCAAATAGAACCAAGCCTAATAATATTTTAACTTCCTAAATTATTGTTCCACCTATTGCTGCAAGTCACTCTTAGTTTCATTTATAAGATTTGCCCTGAATAAACAAATTATGCTGTGTAATAGTAAGGCACTTTGTGAACGGGATAAAAAATGGATATTCGATTGACGGGCGCTTAGTTTATGGCGAATGTTTTTATTTATTCTGATTTTAATAAACATTGGAAACTTTGCTCTTTGCAGATTTGAATTGACTTATGACTTTGAATTTGCAGGAATCGCATGTAACGAAGCATTTCGTTACATAAATCTTGGGTGGTTCCTATTGTTGGGAATATCTAAATTTCATTTGGTCAAGGGATTTATTCTCTGTGAAAATCTCTGTGAAAATGAATTGCGCATGCGAGGTTGCGAAAAGTCCCGAATCTCCGCGGTCCCTCGCGAGTTTTCTTTACAGGTTGTCGCTGTCCATTAGAGAGAGTGAGAGGGTCATATGTGGGCCCTTATCAAAATTAGAAAAGGATGAAAAAGAAGGAAGAAGCCGGTCAATGTGATATTCATTCTTCAGTAGCTCGTGGGCCATTTAATTAATAGGTTGAGTTTTACTCGGGGTTTCCACTTTTGGAAACCTCAGGGTTTTTTCGGTAGAGTCGTTTTGTAATCAAGTTTGATTGTTAATAAATGAGCCAATTGTTATAGTGAATTTTGAGTTTTATCTGTTTTATTTATTAATTGTTTGTGTTGTCGGATTTGTTTTGTAAGAGCAGCCGTTGGTGTCATTGTATCCAAGTTTCATCGTTCTGGTTTCGCCGTCGTTTGTATCCGTCGGTTCATAAGTCTGAAGCGGAATCTCCTCTCAGATATTTTAAGGTTTTCTGTGTTGTGTATCATTAAACGGTCGGTACAAGTTAATTTGATAATTAATAAAAGATCTGTTATACGCAATTTACGTTAAAAATATTTAGACAAATTTTTCAAATAAAATTAAACCTTATTATCTGATGACCAATGGAGAAATCCCTTTTTATTTGGTGGTGGTGTAGAAGCAGAAGAAAAGATGATCCAATTTGGATCTAGCAATTATTCCTGAAGCTGGACTGATGTAGATCGTTCACCGAACATAAATTTTATTAAGTTAAACTTAATGTCGAGTGTCTTGTAAGCACAATACGTACACCGCGATGTCTTACACTTTTTGATTTATTCAAATTTTGTTACCGTGACACAGGCTTCACAATGAATTTAGAATAATGTCTATTTAGTATTATAATCAATTTGATTTACGGGAAGACCCGGGACTTATAGGTCCGACATGAATTTGTGTGAATTTTTTATCGCTCTATGTGATTCATACTACTGCAGTATTCTGAATTCCGAACGTGAAATTCAAAATACGGAATACAGAATTCTGAATCCTGAATGTAGTGTCCGTAATAAGTTACGCCCTTAGTTGACCCTTAGATAAAAAAGTTTCGATATAGTAGTCATTTGAAATAAATTTCCATCTTGTGGTGTAAATTGAGAAAAGTTTGTTAATTTTTCCTTAGTGGTTGAAGGAAAATTTGTAGAAAACATTATTCGAGTTGTGACTGTTGAAAATAATGAGAAAATTCCTCCACCTATTACAGTTGTTGAGAGGACTTTGTCCTGTTCGTTTCGTGTTACCGATCCTCCTTCATAAATATACAAACAATTCTCGCATTTGGCGAGGCAGTGACCGCTTGGTACACTGCGTGAGATACCTACGTTGCGACTAAAATACAACGTGATTTGTGCGGTTGAGTGTATTGCACGCCGCGCCGCCCCGACATGTACTTCGTACCCCCCGGGACAAAAGTTCCCTTGCATCTCAAATGGACCACCAGTTGCCACACGTGCTGCGTGAAACTTTTGCGACTGTAGGTACGAACATGTTCATGTACTTCACGTAGAGTATACAGTCTTCGAGTCTTGACGGTACTTACAGTCTAGCTGGCACGACCAGGTTAGCAAGCGAGAATAAGTCTTGCCTCTTGCCAGCGAGGCAGGCCTTCGCATTTTATTAGAAGTGAAAGTCGACGTTTTAGGTGACTGGCTACCTTCAAATGCATTTCAAATATGCCATTTTGGTGGATCGAGGAAATCGCGGGCGGCACGTCTCATCACGTATTGGTCCTTTTGGAAAGATCTGTTAATCGCTGGGCTCATCAGAGAATGCAACCCTCGAATCACTGTCAGCGGTACATTGAATTGCGATCATCGAACATCGAAGCAGTTTTCGCTACTTTTCAAATATATCAAGAGGGAGCTTTGACGTCGAGGTAAAATGATGTGCACTGTCGATTATTGTTCAGTACACATCACTAGCACTCGGATGTCGATAATCTCCTCTAGCGAGAAAACCCATTAGTCGGGTGATCCAGGCAAATGCGATTACTCCTAATTTCAAGTCATTCTGTAGACGTTCAATCACTTCAGTACTACAATTCAAACCATTACTAGTACAATCACAACAAATGCGAATTCTATTCTAAGGGCTATCTCTAATTTTATATAATTCCAGTCGAAGCGAATAATGATTCCTTTCCTCCTACGGCAATGTAAGACGGGTTGTAAGGAGATTACATTTTAGGAGAGGCGGAAATTTCACAGAATTTCTCAAGATTAAATATTTGGTATGGTGGACTGCGTGCGATTGGTTATTTCTAGGCAGATTTCGAATTTTGGCCACGTTTTTGGAATTTGGAATTTGGAAACCACTGTACTTCGAAAATATGGAATATGGAATTTTCAGAAATATTTTTATCAATTGAAAGCTACGTTTTTCATGCCAGTTGATAGTTATGAAAAGAAATAGGTATCTGAATTTGTTTAGTAATTCGATAACTAAGTGACGTGTACTTGCAATTTAGAGAATAATAACTAATTTAATGATCTAGAGAATAAACTATCATGAAATAGTAAATGAAAGGTTAGTAATTACCATATAGTTACCGCTTCTGTTGGAATCCCCTCTCAAAACTTTTCTGCTCACGTCCCTGTAATTAAATATTTATACTTTAGAAATTGAAACACATTATTAATTAAAATTTTTTATTTTCATTTAAAAACGAGACACATTGCAGAAATAGTATAAAATAATTCTATATAATAATCAGTTTATAATTTAATACTACAGCCATATATATAACATTATCTGTAATCAAAGTTTTATTTTAATATAAACATTAATTAATATTTCATTTTAAAAGAGTATATTTTATCCCAAAGAGGGTAATTCCAATCGTAATGTATTATTATGCATTGAATAATTTAAGAAATGTTTGTTTTCCATCTCGCATTTTATTAAAAATAATTTTTTACGATTATGCCTGCGTGTTCGTGTTAAAAAATAAAAAATGGAACATTTTGAATCCACTTGTACAAATGTCAGGTGAGTTGCTTCTCTGCATGTCGAGCGAAAGAAAGGGAACCATGTACTTGACGAATTATTGGACTTTGCTTGGAACAATATTTACGTTATTTTTTCTTGGAATGAATTTTAAAAATCCATCCTTACATCCCCTATTGCTTACAAAATAAGCCATAAAGTTTTTTAATTGGTTTTTGCTATAAGGGAAGCAGTGCTACACGAGATCAAAATCGTAATTTTGCTTTTAGCATAAATCGCACTTCTTGTATTCTTATGCTTAAGATGTTACGGGGTTTTTGTGTGCGGGAGAGAATATACATAAAGGAAGGTGCAACAATAAATTGTCTCGTATTTCTATGGGATTTCCGTGGTGAGGTGCTAAATATTCTGCTGCAAGAGTCTTGTGAGAAGAATGGTTCCTTCAATTATTACTGCGGGGCTCTATTTGATAAAATTATTATTTGACAATAGTTTTAATAAATCGCACGAGATCAAGAGTGACGCCTCTAGCGATTTCCGACGGGGTTATAATTTGACGAAATATTAATTGTAGATCGATGTACAATGGTTGGGTGCGAATCAATTATTCAGCGTTGCCTTATTGGTCGAGTCGATCGTACGGCACTGTAGTAAAAAATGGAATTACGAAAGACGAGCAACATCTAATTTTTGAACATTTCCCTCTGTTGGTATGTCGAAGTCAAGTCAAGTCTCAAGTATTAATTATATAAGGAAGGAAACAAATAGAAAATAAAGAAAGGAAGAATGATGAAAAGCACACTTCATGTCTTTTATACGGTGCCCCGAGGTGTGAACCCACTGGAGCATCGGAGGTAGCCACGAAAGGATCGGAATATTGTAATAAAGTATTTTGTTACATTTAAGATGAGTCAGGTTCTGGATTGTATTTCATGATTTCGTGTTCCTGAATTAATATCGATGTCTTAGTTTCGAGTCGCATTCTCTCTTGTTTTCTTTTCGTTTAGCGTGTAGATGCCATGCCTCTTGTTAACTCTTATATGGAAATGATCATCCTCAAATTTTTCTCAGGATGCCTAGGACCGGACCCTAAGATGAGACATCATGCACACGTCACGTTGGTTCCCAATGCAAACTTTGTCCGGGACTATTCTTGGGATTCTGTTGCAGAACCTTCACAGGTGGACACTTTTTTGTCAAGTCAGAAATTACAATCAAAAAATATTTTAATTAATACTTAAGTTCTAGATTTATCATATTCTCCAGAAAATTGTATTCGAGGATCTGTCGCTCCACACTGGATCGAAGGCAAGCGGCACATGACGGTAAAAAAGGAAGAGTTTAAGATTATCTTGACGAAAGCTCTTTGTGAACCTATACTGACATCGACTGTGTATAAAAGAATTATCGAGTTTCATTTTTAATTTTTTAGTCTGCAAAACTTTAAAGCACTCTTTTGGGTGACCACGTCCACCTTTCTGAAAAACCATAACTTGTTTTCCAAACATTAACGCAACATTTCTAAATGTAAACCAGTTTATTAATGAATTCTATACTCCCGTGAGAATAAGACAGTAAGTGCTCTTTTCTTCTTGTAGCAAACTTTTCGTTATGGCAAATTAATTTCAATAAAAATAGTAATCATTCTATTTAAAAATTGAAGACGGAAGGAAAATTGCAAATGAATTAAAAATTGGTTGTAACATATGTTAGGCATTTGTATGAGAATAAATTTTTTTTATAACATTACTTTAGTATTCTTATAAAAATTTGTTATACATTATATTTAAAGTCACTTTCTCCTGCTGAATAAAGTATACTGTAAAATTTTCATTGCACTATTTTCCTCGAATATAATAAGGAACTTGAAAATAAAGGTAATTTGAAATGTGGAACACCTATTGATAATAAAGTACGAATCTACTTCTTCCGCTCTCATTTTCTTAATAGAGAAAGCTACTTAAGGAGAAGCTAGCGAAACCGCATGTAAAGCCTATTATGAATGACATAAAAACTGAAATCACTTTTTTCCATAAAAGAGGCCGCGAGATGAAATTCAAATATTTCCAAATTACCTCATGGAATTCTGAATTGTTACACTTAACATCTTTCAAGTATAAGTGTATTTATTAATAACTGTAAGTTACCTGAAGGGATTCAGTCGGAATCGCAAGGGAATTTCGAGAAATCCGCGAAGAAATCTAAAATTTTTATGAAAATCGTCAAGTTTTATTAAAAAAGTCTGTAAAATTTTGCAACATGTACTCAATTTTTCTGGTTGTACGAAAACTTGTTGAATTATTGCTTTATAAATCATTAGGGTGTGTGTATGTCAAGCAAGATATTTTTGGTGCCTGTAAATACAAACAAGAAAAATTGGTACAATTTGATTTCCCAATATGTAAAAGACGGCTTTCAGTTATAATTATAGACTCGATCCGGTATTATTTATTTTCAATGTAACTTTGTGACAAAAATAATATTCCAGAAAAACTGGAAAACCTACATGCTGAGTTTAACTTATGACTTTGGCATGGTGAATGTACTTGTTTACTTGTTTACCTTTCACGATACAAAGTGCAATTTACAATATTTTTCAGTTCACACTTATAAATATAATTAACTTTTAGACAATCATTCGCAGGTCAATGAGTTTTCTGCCCTTTCCTTAAAATTATTTTCGCGTATATAATAAAGTAAACTTTCACAAAAATTATTTTTTTCCATTCCACGAGAAAAAAAAATTGGAAAACTCTTTCCTTTAACAACATTCATAAAAGTTGGCAATGTATTTATAAATAATGAAAAAGTCAAAAGTATAATAAAGTAACGTATTTTAAAGGTAGTAAATATATAAGATTTAAAAATTTAACATCCGTTTGAAAGATTACTCTTTAACTTTCCATAAATGTATAAAAATATTCTTTAACAGCAAATTACTTAAGAAAGTGTATGACTTTTTTGCTTCTAAAAGCAGAAGGTTAGGAATAATTTGCGCGTATGCTTTTTAATATTGAACTGTACTTTCAATCACTTTTTATAATACACACTATACTTAATGCTCACAATGTAATTAGCATTTACACTCACGTAAGTATGTAATAATTTTTAAAACACTCAATTATTTGCGTCCGTCATTAATTTAATAAATATTATGGCATTCTTCTAAAAATAATGACTTAATAACATAGTGAGCATTAATAAACTGCTACAAGTTCACGACTTTTACACCTTTCTGTTCAATATTTTCTGCGTGAATATAAGTTGTAAGAATTTAGTTTAAATGTCTGAAATGAAATTCTGCCTGTTAATCATTGATTTTATAAGAATAAAATTACAGTTTTTTTTATTTCAATTTATTCCTCGTTATTTACGTACCCACAAATATTTTTAATTGTTTTTTTGAAAATCACTCCAGAAATATAGGACTTTTTACATTCTACGTAGGTATTACAATTTAAGGGAATTAATTTTATGACAAAATTACTTGTGCGTTTTTAAGAAAAGAAATTATTTCTTATTACATTAATAAGTTGCTTCTTTCTTTTCGTTTGTCGCGTTGAATCATGCGGTTACACATATATATATATACAAATTATATTCTTATTTTTAAAACACATACACGCATATGGCATATACAATCACATGTCAACAAAAAATATACTTATGTACACGTATAAATACGTGAAAAAACTCATACACATATGTATACCTGAATTATTCGAAAGTTTTTACATTAAAATATTAATCTTACACAAAAAGATATAATATCAAAATCATCAAACATATAGACAAAAACGTAGAATATATAAAAAGCGATCGGAATAGCAGGGGAGGAGATAAAAAAAGGCAATAATAATAAACGCGTGTAATACTTTAAAAAAACTAATTAATACCACTTTTTCTTTCCTTCTAAAAATTTCTTTGTTTTCTTTTTATTATCTTACGTTTCAAGTTCCCCGAGAATTATATGCAATTAAAAATTATAGAATCAGGGGTAATTATTTTTATTAGTTTGACATAACTATTTTATTATAGAGGTTTTTAAGATGTTCCTTATTATTATGACAGTAAACATTATTTGAAATTCAAAACAGTGGATTAAAAATTTTAAAATGAATGCTATAAAATTAGTAAGTAGTGTAAATTTTATACAATTAATTAATTTCACTTCCTTATAGAAGAATTTTATGGGGCGAAAGAAAGTGTAATTGAGTTTTAATTTTATACACAACAATCTGCATAATTTTAAATACGTACAATAAATGTTTATCAAGAGGTATAAAAAATTTCATTGGAATTCAATATGGTGGACAATTTTTTCTTTATGACTTTAAAATGACTTAAAAAATACTCGAGTATAAGTTTAAGGAAGATTATATTAGAAATATTAAAAAGACTATTCTTTATTTTAGATTCGACATTTATTATTATTATTATTATTTAAATATATTTTAGATCCATGTTTAGGGAACTCAGAACTTTCAATTTAGTAATTAAGAAAAATAAGAAATCACCAAAAAATTTTAATAATTTAATAATAACGTACAAGAATTGTATTATTCAATTCAACCTAATATTAATTATTTAACTAATTCAAAAAAGTTAATTGACAAACTTGTTTTAAAAAATTTGAGTAAAATAATT